CCGTACCTAACAAACGAACCAACGTACTCTCGCACTACCCTAAACCCTTAAACTTACTACCACCACCCACCACCTACCTACTACTAGTCTTTTCTTTTCTTCTCCTCCTCCTCTCTCTCTCTCTCTCTCTCTCTCTATCTAGAACTCTCAATTTGCAAAAAAATCAAATTGAGAAACTCATTCAACACCTGCAAGTATTAATCATCAATAAATCAAGAATCCATGTAAGAGACCCTAAAACCAAAGGAACCATAGAGCTACCGGTGCTCAAATTAACAGAATCATTTACAAAGAAATCAAAGAAAATAAAGTTCTATTAAACCAAAGAAAATAAATTTCTTTTTTGATAATTAAAGAGAATAACGTACTCAAAAACCAACATATGGGGTAGAGAGAGAAAGGTAGGCTCAAAACTAGAGAGAGAAAGGGAGAAAAAAAAACAGGTAAATATCTAGGGTTTGTGGGAACTTCAGATAAGGGCATTTGAAAGTTGAGAATACACAGGAGAGAGAGAGAGATTTATGAGCAGAGAAATAAGGGAGAAATGCAAGGAAATATAGAGAGAGAGTGAGAAGAGAAGTTCTGAGAGAGAAAATGAAAGAGGAGAGCAGTAAGAATGACCGGCGTCATTAAGGGGCTCCGTTTTTATTGTCGTCGCCGAACAAACGCTTCGGATTTGCGTGATGCGACGTTTTCCGATGGCCGAGTTTTTGCGTTTCCTGCCAACGAGTTACCGTATCTTTGTCAGCTTAAGTTTGAGACACGTGATGTAGAGAGAGAAGTTATGTGAGAGAAAAAAGAGGAGAGAGGAGGAAAGTCCATACTCCATGGTCTATACAAGTTAGAATAGGCCAGCGGGAGATACGGAAAACACGAGGAGTGGCGAAAGGAGGAATAAGATTGAGAAATCAGAAAATAGACCGCTCGGCCCATTCCATGGTTTAAAATAAGTGCAAATATACTATGCTCCCTCGGGAGCATTACTGTATATTTTATATTTGCTCCCTCGGTCATTACATCTATCTAGGTTGATATTTTGAGTCTCAAAATTTGGGAGAGCAGATAAAAATTATTTGATGATTATTTTTAAAGGAAAATTGAATTTTAAGTTATGTGACTCTTAGATCTAGCTCTTCAAAAATTAGATGTCTATATTTAATCTTGAGGCTTTAGTTTTTCTAGAATATATAGAGTTTGATGTTTGAGAGTTTTTTTACTAAGATTATTCTATGGGTTGTAGAGATTAATCCCATCTAAAAAGTATGTATTTTGCACAAGGGAGTAAATGGATAAAATACTCCTACAAAAGAAAGATATCTTTTGACTGCATTCTCAAAAAAAAATATGTCTTTTGACTTAGAAATGTCGATCGCTCAATCTTAATTGAGAATTGGCAAGGCAATTGTGTTTCTCACCGTACATCAGAAATTGGCTGGTTCTATCAGGAAATCGACCTTCAGCACCACCCTTTTTATCATATTTTCAATTTTTATTTTCTTAATTTAAATTTTTTTGCCCGATTATCCACCGGTCTAGATCGATTTTTAAGATTAATCACCGGGTCACTCAACCGTGTTTTTAAGCATTGGGCCATACTCCATACAAGTTGTAATAGGCTAGAGAGTGAGTTATTGAGGATACAAAAGTGTGAGGAGGGTAAGGTCATTTATACTCCGTAGTCCACCCAATAAGTTACGAGGGGGTAGAGAAGGAGATTGAGAAGTGTGAGAGAGGAGGGAAAGAGGAGTCCATGGGTTGTTAGAGAGAGAAAAGGAAAAGGAAGGGGAAGAATAAAAGTGAGGGTGAGGTTTCATCGAAAGTTGTGTTTTTTTTGTTTTTTTGGCGAAGTCCCCTCTACTCGACTTTTATTAATTATAAATAAGAACGAGCATTATATATTATTTTACACTATAGTAAGGCAGTTATGTACGAAGTAAGAAAGTAGAAATAAATTTTGGCAGATGACAGCGTCAAATAATAGTACCAGAGCACCCGGATGCTTTATTCGCAAGGGCATTGTTAGCAAGGGCATCGGCTATCATATTTGCCTCACAAAAAACATGGACAAGAGACCATCTATGAGTAGAGAGATTGCTTTGACAATTATTTACAATCATCTTTAACCGTCATGGGGCACAACATCGATTCTGTATAATATTCACAAGGAGAGAAAAATCGTTTTCTATTTGTAGTGGAAAAAACCCCTTCTGAAAAACTAAATGAATCACTTTCTCGAAAACCAAAAATTTTGCATAGTTATTAGAGACAATACCAAACTGCTTAACAAATACAGTAATAAAACCACCATTGTTATCTTTGATGACATCACCACTACCACCTGTTAATACAGGGTTCTATAGGGAAGCCCCATCAATGCTCAACTTATAGTTTTGAGCCTCAAAAAATGACCACACCACCGGAAGAAGGGATCTTGGGTTCTGTTGGCGCCAAATGATCTGAAAATTCACAATGATTATCTTTTTTTTGTTATCTTGGGTTTGAGGCAAGGATATCATTTGCCTCAAACCTCTCTTCCCTTTAAAGTAACCCTTTGGGAAGCCACTTCTCAATATAGAAAAGGAAATAGTAGAGATATATAATCGAATCCATGAAACAAAAGGATTAAGAAAACCCAGTGCATGCAACCTACCCACAATAAAGTCTCAAGATACCCTATCACAGTCACTGCTTCGATCAATCTGCAAACACATTTAGGTCGAACTGAATTTCTATGGCAAAGAGACATAAGTTTATTTGCCATAAATACATTATTTGTAATAAGAGCGCCTTTCAAGAAAGCAACCTGCTTAGGGTCAATAATATCATAAGGAACAACTTGTAAACAATTTGAGATGATTTTGTACAAGATATTACACAAACCAATAGGACGAAAGTCTTTCATAACACTAGGAGTATTCACCTTAGGAATTAATTTATTTGCTTAAGGAGCTTACCTTTGTTGAAGAATCATTGAGGGCCAGAAAGAGGTCATTTTTAATAACATTCCATCCAAACCCCAAGCACTCTCACTTTTCATATTCCAAATACAAGTCTTGATCTCCTCCATATTGACTACCTCAACCAATTTTTTCCTTCTGATTAGAACTAAGCGAAGGTGGTGGCAAAAACTGATCAACCAGACGAATGTCAGCACCGCTCTCATGGGCTAGCAAAGCCTCAAAATAACCAGTCATGTGATTATCAATGTTAGCCTCAGTAACTGAAGAAATCCCATTTTGAGCTTTTAAAGACATAATTCGATCATTTCTTCTTCTTATCACAGTATAGAGGTGGAAAAATTTAGTATTGGAGTCTCCATCCTTTAGCCAATTTGTGTTGACTTTTCCCTCCATATGCTATCTTCATAACTCAAAAGTATCTGAAGCCTCTAAGTACACTACTTCACTTCTACCATCAACACCTCATTAGACGGGTCACTGCTCATATTATCATGTAAAATGGACAAAAGATGCCAGATTGTTATAATAGATTCACCCATATGCCCAAACACCTATTTATTCCATGCCCCCCCCCTTTAATCTTTTTAATTTTGTGACAAAACAAAACATGGGTGTGCCTCCCACTCTACCTTGCCATGATATAAAGATAATATCAAGAAAACCATGAATCTTCTCTCAAGTTGAGAAATACTTAAAGGGTTTTGGCCCAACTAGGCCCAAATCTGAAATTGATATGAGCAAGGGACAATGATCAAAGTTCCCTTTAGGGAAAAGCTCGACCTTAGATTCTAGATAAGTCAAAACCCAATCTGTAGTTGCCACCGCGCGATCTAATCTTCTTCGGATACACCTCCCCTTAAGTTGGTTATTGGACCACAAGAACCACCCTCTAGCCACACCAAGGTCAGTGAGTGTGCAATCGGGCATAACACGTGCACACCTAAGTCTGGGGGTAAAGAGTTGCTACCCCCCATTCTTTATGGGAGTGTTAAAGTCCCCCAGTACCAGCCAAGGTACTGTAAGTTGTCGTGTTTACGTTACTGTAAGGCCTAAGTTTTGAAATAGAAAGTTATTTTACATTTCAAAATCCCTGTAAAAAATAGATTTTAGGTGCCTAAAATTTCTAGGACAGCTAAAAGATATGTTTTTACTGTCGATCATGTAATTTGAATCTCCAAAGTGAATATTTAAAAATCAACGGTCTAATAAACTTTAGGGTGAATTTCTATAAAGCGTCAACCATAAACAGGCAGAGTAAGGCACACCTCAAAACCATGCCAAAAGAGCATTTTTCGTGTCAAAAATCTATTATCACCCTAATTATGAAATTAAAAGCTAAAAAATTGACGAACTACAAAGATTTTATTGATGAACCCTAAGATATCACATCTTGCAAATATACAAAGAGAATGAAAGGAGACTACCACAATGTAAATACTTAGTTAAGCTTCAATAAATCTTCTTGAAAGATTGTCCAAATTCCGAAGGGATTGTATATTGTGATACTATTTTATTTTTGACACAAGGAAGTCACAATTACTTTTAACCATTGAATATGAAACTCAATAGATGAAAGTGTATCATAACATTCGAGTAATTTTGTTTTGAATTTTGTGCCTAAACAATAATACATCATTTTTTTTCTTTTTTTTATGATCAAAACAATGACACATCCTCAACCACCTAATTTCAAGTCTAACAATAAATGATAATTATGACTTGCTTATATAAGAAGTAAATGGCTTCACTATATATTTCCAATTCTAGCTCATTAGGTGTTTAAAAAAAAAATTTATTGTTTTTTTAGAGGAATTCAGAATTTTTATTAATAAGAGATTAGAAAGAAATTACAGAATCAGAGACAAAATTTTCAGTTAAAGTTGCACCCTATTTGGCAAGGAAGTCCGCCAATACATTGGCCTTATGATAAACATGCATAAAGTAAAAAAGAAAAGGTCTAGATATGTTCTAAATTTGTAGCAAAACTGATCTAAATTCCCAAGACGATTTTTGTTCTCTTTTAATGTACGATAGCAAGCCTTCAATGTACCGTAATTGTTTTTTAGTTTTAGATAAAAATAATAATTATTACTAAAAAATTATTTCTAGAGAGATAAAGTAGTTATTTCAAGATTTATTGGTGACAAAAATCGATTGTAAAATTAGAAAAAGGAAGTTTTATTTATAAAATTCATAAAATAACCATTTAATAGAGATATCTTACTCTTCACTAAGCCAATATAAGAGCTTAGCTACCCAATGATTATTAAAAGGGTAATGATTTATAAGATCATTTTCCTATGTATGTAAGGCTTTAAAAGATTTCTATTAAATTTAACGCATATTTCTAAAAAAAATTAAGCCACATAATAACTTTTCTGAAGATACGTGTCAAATTAAACGAGGATCTTTAAAAAATCGTACAAACATAAGTATGAAAATGTCTCGTAGGATCATTACTCTTATTAAAAATCCAAAAATCACTTCATGTACCGTACAATGTTACTAAGGATTCGATCCATTTTTTATTATTGCGATAGGTGTCCACTTTTTAACTTTGACTCGATTGCACATTTTGCAAACTATTTAAAACTTCAATTTTTAGTGGGATTTGAGGTGCAGCTGTACTCGTTGTAACAGGTGAGGTTACCGTCTTCGTGCCTAATTTGAAGGCTCATATCTCAATAAATGGGTTTTTTTTATGAAAGTGCGGCCTTAGAATAAAGAGTGCGGTTTGTATAGAGCCAAGGCTCTAAACAATCAAATTTAAGCCTATTTTTCGAAAAATATGGTTTTAATACATGAAAATTTTGTGATAGCCTTAAATTATAGGAAAAAGTTTATATAAGGTTGCAACCATAAAAATGTAGAATGACATTTGAGCATAAAAAATCTATCGGAAAGGTTGTTTTAATGTTGAAAACCCCTCTATTTGATCATCTCGACATCGAGGTGTATGAATATTAAAAAAAAAAAATTGACTCTCAGAAATGGTGCATCTTGCAACACATTATCTAGACCATCGATTTTTAAGATTTTTATAGATCTCTTTGATTTTAATCGTTTTTGGAGTTCAAAATTTTCTAATTAGATATGAAAATAGATTTTAAGATAATCCTAAGAATTTTTTACAACAAAATTACATGTTATGATAAAATTTGGAGGTGCGCCTTAATTAGATTGTTTAAGGTTGCAACCTTATAGAAACTGCACCCTAAATTATATTTTCATCTTTAGTTATAAAATTTAAAGCTTCAAAAATAATGTAGATTGAGCAAATCTATGAAAACTTGAAAATCTTAAAAATTGACAATAAAAAAACGTGTTATATGATGCATTTCTCCAAAACTTGAAATCTATTTTTTTTTCAAGTCCATACATCTTGATGTCCAGACGATCAATTTGATGATATTTGGACATCAAAATAACTTCTTTTAGTAAAAGTTTTGAGGTAGGCTCTAATTTGATTGCTTAGAACAAACGTTCTACATAAAATCTTATGCATTTGTTTAGTGAGATCCTTATCAGAAAGTAGGAATAAATATGTGATGAATCATCATTCAAGTCATACATCATACTAAATTATGAAGTGGGAGACCTTAATATATATTCAAGAGGCCATGCCAACCACATGTATGGCTTTATAGAGAAAAATGCACCTTTATTTTAGGCAAAAAGATCATATGCTCGGATGTGAGCCTATCTCTATTCACATTATCCCCACAAAATCCAAACTCTTTTCCCTTAATAGGAAATTATAGAATGAGATCATTTACCTTTTATACAAGGTGGTCATAATGATCATTGAACATTGGATGTAAAGTTGGGTGGCTGCAATTATTCAGGTGGCCTAGTTCAAACTTTGAAAGAATTTTTTCTTGAACTTTGAGGCACATCCAAACTATCAAGTTTCGCATCAAATGATTACAAGGAATTGTGACCACCTTGTATAAAAAGTAAATGGTATTATTGTATATAATCCCTTTTTTAATTATAAAATGCTAATAATGTGATTTTAAGTGGATCCCAAAATTTCTAGTGAAAATGTTGGAAAAATGGTGCGTGGAACAAGGATTTTGAAGAAATAGAAACTTGAATATTTGCCCCTCTTCGATACTATATTTGATGTGTATTAGAAGAACACAATTCGCCTGCGGGATACAGAAAAACATAGAGGTCTTATTTGATGTTCTTAAGCTATATGTATCTGAGCTTGGAACCCTTGATGTTCCTAAGCTCTATGCATCCGAGCTTCGAACCCTTGATGGTCCTAAGCTCTCTCTTATGCACCCGAGCTTGGAACCCTTGATGTTCCTAAGCTCTATGCACCCGAGCTTGGAACCCATACACTAGACACCAATATGTTCTAAGTGTGTATATCTTGTATGGGTAGGAAGGGCCCTTATTATAGAGGACTCAGAAAATGCGTGCATGTGTGCATCGCACGCATTGGGTGTGCAATATCCCGCTCACATTTGTACTGATAGTATAATGCATGAGAATGCATACTCTTAAATATAACTCCATAACCTCTCTCCTCTTCAATGTAGACTCAAACCCACATCTTTCTCTCTCTACAAAACATTTTAAGAAAGAACTATAAAGCAATATACACAAATATTTTCAAATAAAAAATACTAGCACAAAGAAGAAGAAAAATTATTCTCAAGTAACTCTTTCTCGAAAGAGTAAGCATACAACGTGCTCCCATGAGAGTAAATACTCTTTTCACTAGGTTTAAAATGCAAGATTTTATGCTCTAATATTTTAATTTGTGGGTTCAAAATGAGCGTTCTCTAAGTTGGTTAAAAAAGAATAAAACTTATTAGTACCAAGATCGGGTTACGATTCGGCATGAAAGATAATCCATTGCTGCTCCAAAGTGACATCGAAAAGCTTGGAGTGTTACAATTATATGAATGAAATGGGCAGAAGAAATAGTTTTTTTAAAAATTACTCAATTGTAATTAAAATGTACGAACAATCTTGTATTTTTCATATACAAATACTTTGTATCCATCTAAAAATATTTGCCTTTTATTAATTAAAATCAGTGTGGATCTAAGTTTTGTAGGCAAATATGTCCTCAAGATACAAGGAAATGTCTAGGGTCTTGGACCCAGACCCGACCCATTAGGTCCAAAACTTGGACCAATACCTGATCTGGGTCTAGAACCTAGCGAAAAGTTTTGAAAAAATATTCAAAAAATTATGTTTCTAATACACACACCATACTTGTATAGGCAGATTTATCAAAATACTATATATTTGAAAAAATATTATATGTAAGATTGCAATTTCAGGAGATACCAAACATGAAGATTTTAAGGGGTTGTCACTTGGTGTGACCGTAAAAGGCTCAGATAGGCAGTGCAAGAGTACGGGTTCAAGTCCTGAGAGTGGCCACTTTGTGTATAAGCCAAATATTAAGACCGTTTCCAACCCACCCCTCCCGAGACCCTGTTTAGGTGGGACCAAGCACCAGGTTATGACCTTTTTGTGGAGACCAAATATGAATATTCTAATTTCAGAAGATACCAAATCCAGGATTGGCATCACCCAGGACATACAACTCTAGGGACAAAAGAGGACCTTTGCACAACTGAATACAACAAAGTAGGAGGGGGATTTGCAGAACTAAAGAAAAAGAAAGCAACTCCATTAGAGAGAGTGTTTCAAAACCAAAGAAATAAGTACACAATTTCCATTCCATCAAGCTTATACCCAAGCTAATCACATAAAACATCTGATACCCATCTCCACTAGTCACTTTTCCCCCCGTCACTAGATTTCAAGCATTATACCAGAGAAAATAAAAGAAATAAGAGCAAGAAAACCACATAAAATCCCACAAACAACTCTACAACCGTAGCCACAACTTGGACAGATCTTCTCTCTCTCTAGCGTCTCCGAAGAGCAGCAGCAGATAGCAGCACAAGGAACATGAAGAGCACCGCAGCCACAAAGGATGCCACGACTGCACCGCTAATTCTCTGACAAAAATTGTCGAATTGCTGACAAATAGCGATCCAATTCGCACTCGTGTTCCCCTTGTGAGCCAGGTAGACTATGGCAGCAGCTGCTCCAGCGGCTGCAGTGGTTAGAGCAACCATGATCTGTGAAGCCATGAGAGTAGCTTTTAGTTCATAGAAATTGAAATAAAATGTTTTACAAGTGAGATAGAATTCAACATTGATTGTTTAGTCAGTCAATGGCAGTCTCCCAATGCCCTTACAAACCTCTATAGGAATATCATACGGTCCTAACGCATTTCCCATCTTCATCTTTTTCAAAGTTTCTTTCACTTCCGATATCTTAATCCTACGAATATTTCTATAGCCTCCGCCCTCATTTATGCCAACGGTCTTCTACTGCTATGGTCCCCTTTGTATTCGTCATTTAATAATTTTTAAAGTTAGGATAAAAAATATCAAATTACCCCTATTCCGAAGCTATTATAGTTAAGCATTTCGATAATTTTACCACCAAAGAGGATAACAAAAGTACCTTTTTGGGATAAAATTACTAAAGTACTCATAATTATTTGGGTGTGGTTTGTATAAGGTTGCAACCTTAAACAATCAAATTAAAGCGCACTTCCAAATTTCATCATAGATATAATTTTGGTGTAAATTTTTTTAGAATGGCTTGATAATCTATTTTCATTTCTAATTATAAAATCTTAAACTCCAAGAGTGGTTTAAATCAAGTAGATCTATAAACACTTGAAAATAGACAGTCTAAATAATTTATTGCAAGATAACACTATTTTTAGGTACAAAATCTTTTTTTCTTTTCATATTCATACATATTGATGTTGAGATGATCAATTAGAGGGTTTTCTAACGTCAAAACAGCCTTCTATAATGAATTTTTAAGATGCACCTTAATTCTACATTTTACGGTAGCAACTTTATATAAAAAAAATTTGAATTATTTTGGCTTCTTATTAGAGTTTTCAATAGATATATATATTTTTTGAGAAAGTACCTAGAACTTTAAAAGCATGCGTTCCATACATCTAACGATTTACCAAAATAGCATCAAAATCCAGAAAATTGGCATAACTACACATCTTCACCATTCAAATGGCGAAGCTCGAAGGTGGTGTTGATGGAGTTACCGTGTCAAAGATGAGGAGAGTGAAGCGTGGAGCGACTGCCTTTGGACGAACAATGGCCACGATGGAGAGAGGCAACGACAGTACAAGGTATCCACTCGCTATGGCGTTTGCCACCACGAAAAACCTGCAGACAACCAGGCCAACAGTTCATGAATAAAGAAATTGGTAAAAACTAAACACGATTTAGCTAGCCAAAATAAATGTAGACTCTAGTGCAATGTTCGACGACCCAACCGAGTTGAACCGGAACCCATGACCACGTTACTCAAACCAACCACTGGCCAGTTAGGGCAGTCAACAGGTTTGACTATCCTAATTGTAAAAGAGAAAATAAAATTATATATATATATATATATAAAATAAAATAAAAAATTTCCTGTAATAGGTTTTTAAATGTTTTTTATCATTTTAAAAAAATATAGAGAAGTATTTTGGCTATAAATACTTATTTTTACATTTTTTCCATCTTTTATAGATCATTATTTTAAAATACCCCTTGATACAAATCGATTTTTTAAAATCCATTTTTCCTACCCTATTTTTTTTTTTGGCTAAATTGCCCCTTCTTCGGACATTCAAGGTCCTAAGTCTAACTTTTGTAAAATGCTTGTGCTGATGTTTTACTCTTTCTGATACATTTAACATGATATTGGACCTTTAAGGTTCATTTGTTTCAATGCTCACAGGGAAAAAATAATCTAAGTACAAACTTTAGATCGTGAAAGCCCAAACTTGAAGATCAAGGTGAACTACAATCCGAAGCTACACTTCAAGTATATAATTCAATTTGGTCCTTCAAGGTTCGAAATTTAAATTCTGAGAACAAGCCTTGAAGGTACCAGTTAAGTGCATAACAAATACTTGCTAAGGGCTTTGATCCTAAGTTGAACTTTTGAATTTCAAGGTTTAGAAAAGAGGCAATTTAGTTAAAAATAAAAAAGTTAAAGAAAAAGCAACAAAATAAAAATAGAAATTAAGGAGGACGTTTAAATAACAGGAATTCAAAGATATGCCAGCAAATTTCTCTCAAACTTATATAAGAAACAATGATTATTTGAACATGTGGGCTTGAAAAATGGTCGCTTTAGGTGTCCTATAAAAAGTGTTTCACACTTCAGCAAGTATTTCCTAACAAGTAAAAGGAAAAAGAACAAAGTCAGTTTCAAAGTGAGGTGTACTTGTAAATTGAAATAGAGGGGTGAAAAAGTTAAATAAAAATTGTAAAGTTAACAAAGAAACAGAAAGCTAGAAAAAAGTGGGGGCAGAGATGAAATGAGTCATCAGGGATGTTCTTTTTTTTAAGCATAAAATCTGCAATGAAAAAGGAAACAGAAGCCACATAAAAAGGGTGTTGGAAAAGAGAGATCATATGAGTCATTTAGGATTTGTTTTCTCAAAAAGAAGTTCAAAAGAAAAAGAAAAAAAAGGCTGGAAAAAAAAAGAAAAGCTGCATATCTGAATAGATAAAGAGAAATAAAAGAGAGAGAGAGAGAGATGAGACACCAGATCACAAATAGTAGAAAAGAAAAGAGTGTTAGCGGACTCATATTGTACATATGCAGGCCCCCTCTAAAATCAATCTTAAAGTTGGATGTCTAAGCTAAGATGATCATGAATATATATGAAAAAAGGCGTAGGCTTAGATGATCATGATATGAAAAAGTCGTAATAAAATGGACTTTTTCTCGACTCCATAATAATTTTCCCGGCGCATACATTTCTCTTGCATATAAAAAGCACGCGTCCGCGAAAAGAATTGCACATCCGAGTTTTTCAGTTATAAAACTCGGAAATCGGCGGAAACAGTCCAAATTTTAATCAATAACCAAGTGGGTCTGGCATAAAATTGAAAAAGAAAAAGAAGTTGCTATGACAAAAGAAAAAGCAGAGAAAACGCAGCAGTGGCAGTGGACTTTTACATGTGAAAGAGTCCACTTTCTATAAAATAAAAAAGAAAAAAAGAAACAAAAAAAGTGAGAAAGAAACAAAAAAAAGCTAGGAAAAATAAAAGGTAAAGTGTACCAGGACCTTATAATCATGGTAAGATTATGGGTCATAAGGGTCATCATTAATCACCATCCCTTAATAACCTCAGAAAAACTAGATAAAAGATAGTGCAGGTCCACATAAAAGAGAGAGAGAGAGTCATTGTAAAGTAGGAATCTAGAGAGAGAGAGAGAGAGAGAGAGAGAGAGGTGGGAATTCTTATGTTAAACAAAAAAAATAGATATTCTCATGAGAGAGAGACAAGGATAATGGAAGAGAGAGAGCATGAGTGATATTTGTGTAGAGAGAGAGAGAGAGGGGGGCTCACGTGAAAGCAGGGAGATCATTGTAGCTGGCCTGGAACTGAAAGAACTGTGTAAAGAAAGGCAACGTTTGATCAGTGGTGCCCATGGTTGTCGTGGCAGCAAGAGCAGCGCCGATGGCGAAAAGGCGAAGCACAAAATCGAACACCGCCAAGCCACGCCTCACTCCCACTCTCATCTTTGGTTTAGTCTTCACCGGCGAAGGAGCAACTTGAGGTGGTGGAGGATGAGCTGGAGCTGCTTTCCCAGTGTTTGGTTCATTGATCACAACAGTGGTAGAAGAGCCATCACCTCCACTATGCATCCTTCCTCACTCTGGAAACCTCTTTCCTCTCTCTTAATATCTCCCTCTCTCTTTTGCAATTAGGCTTGTGGACTTGGGTTAGGGTCTTCATGGCTTGGACCTTTATATTAAGCGTTCAAGAGAGAGAGAGAAGTGTTCAAGAGAGAGAAGGGAATGTTAGGTTTGTGTTAGTACAGAGTAGGAGCAGGTGGAGTTGGTGATATCTTCTCCACTGGTTGATGAATATATGAAAGTGGTTTTGCAAGAAAGATGAGGATGTTTTATTAAAGATGGAATATATATGTTGATTTTTCTTTATTATATTTGGTGTTTGTATTATTAGCCTTGTCTCATGTAGATGTGATTGTTTACTCACTTTACAATTGCATTCCCCTCTCTTTTGTTTGTTATTTTTGGTTCTTATATCAAGATTATTTCATATAATTGAGAATATTTCTTCACTTTACAATTGTATTTGCATATCTTTATTTGTGGGCAGTTGAAATCAACATTGAGAAGCCAACTCTGTCTCTCTAGGATCTGATGAATGCTACTTTGAATACTTTCGTCCACCCCATGTTTACTTGCTGGTAAACAACAAATTACAACCTTCAAATTTTGGAATTAAAAAAAGAAAGAAAAGAAGAAGTGATATTTTTTTTTTAATATTAAAAGAAGTGATACATCAGTTGTCAAAATAATACTGACGCAATGAAGGATTATGACCCCTCCAATTCACGATAGAATGCATAAGAATTTATGCAGAGATCATATACAATGTTTAAATGTAACATATGTACCTAGGACCTCCACGTTTTATTCTAGAATATGGTAGGGAGATTATGTACCTGCTTGAAAATGTTATTAAAATGGTCAATCCACCTCAAAAAAAATTAGGTAGTGGTTAAATATACAGTTCTCGAAATTATTTTAATTAAATTGATTCTTTAAGAATTTTGTTAAAAAACCCTGAACAGCCCTCGCTCTGGGGTTGTAACACCGAGCGATTAATGCATTTTGGCAATTTGACCCAACTTAAATGAGTCAAATGACCTAAAATCCTATGCTTACTCCAATTTCCAACATAAAACAATTTTTTTGAAAAAAAAGAACTTGTTCTAAGTTTGGAAACCAGAAGAGATAGAATGCATTTGAAGAATTAACTTGAATCACCCAATCCAATAAATATAAAAGAAATTATAAAAAATATCATTTTTTTTAATCTTTAAAAATAAACTACAAATTTTTTAAAACCTCATTCATACCCCTTTTAGCTACTGTTTGCATATTTTGACAAAATACCCTTCACGAAAGTCTTAGGTCATTGTGGTTAACCCAGAACCTTGATGGTCATAGTGGGTTCTAAGTGAATTTTTATCACGGTAGTCCACTACCGTGATAGTCAAGGTGATCATCATAATTATATGAGTACCATGATGGTTCTAATGCTGCCCCATTGTCAGGGTCCTACTAGGACCATAATAACTTAAGCCCATACCTACAACGTTTGAACCGGCACGACCATTACGGTTCTAGGTTAACCATGATGCCTTCATGGACCTAATACTTCCATGAAGGGTATTGTAGTATAAAAAAAAAGCAACAAGTGGTGAAGAGGGGTATGGATGAGGTTTCAAAAAATTTAAAATTTATTTCTAGTAACTTAAAAAAAAAGATATCTTTTATAATTTCTCAAAATATAAATAACTTTTCTTATTTTGGACTCCAAATCTAAAGCAAGAGTGTTTTTTATAAAAAAGTTATTGCAATTTTGGTTTGGAATGGGATTTTAATTGCTTAAGTAATTTGAATGACTATATTACCAAAATACCGAAGTTCCCGATATAGGGTCAATTAGGATATTTTTCAACAAAACAAAATAATCGAAAAAGCATTCAAGTGACAAGATTATTAAAAGGAAAAAGTTTATATAGAGCCGAGGCTCTAAACAATCAAAATAGAGCCCACCTCAAAAATTTCACTAAAAGAGGTTGTTTTGATGCCCAAACATCCTCAAATTGATCATCTAGACATCAAGATGCATTACATCTTGTAATGCATTTTTGGACCGTCAATTTTCAATATTTTCAAGTTTTCATAGATATGCTCGGTCTACACTATTTTTGAAGCTTTAAAACTTATAATTAAAGATGAAAATGTATTTTAAAGCTATCACAAAGATTTTCAGTATTAAAACTATATTTCGCTACACTATTTGAGGGTGGGCTCTATTTTGATTGTTTAGAGTCTCGGCTCTATACAAACCGCACCCTTATTAAAAGTAACCACTTTATTTCATTAAAAAATTATATATAATGATATCATTTATCATTAGCACAAGGATGTCACAATTATTATTAATTGTTAGATGTGAAATCGAGTAGTTATGAATTTGCCATTGACTAGGCACAATGCCCAAAACTAAAATTTTTCAATTTTGTGTCACACTTCAATCCATTAAATATACGCATCCTATGGTTAAAAATAATTATGACCTTCTTATATTAAAAGTAAATAGTTTTATAGTATACAATCCTTTTTATTAATTGACACGGTTAGCATACGGCCAAGCCTGCACATGTACAAATGCGGGTTTGGCAATACATATATTTTTTAAATATAATTTGATCCTAATTTTCAAAGAATATAAAGTTTTTAACGTGGAGATCATGAATAAGAAAATTGCATAAATTTTAAAACTAGAAATAATAATTGAGTAATGATCCTATGAGACCCTCCCACACCCATGTGTGTAGGACCCCAAAAGATCACCATTAAATTTGGCATAGATCTCTAGAAAAGTCAAGTCTCACACCCATATTATAACTTTTCTAGATATCTGTGCCAAATTTAATGGTGATCCTTTGGGATCCTACACACATGGGTGTGGGAATGGTGATCCTTTGGGATCCTACGCACATGGGTGTGGGAGGGTACCCATAATCAATGTTTTAAAAATAGCCGAGTCGGCACGGAATCGGCCGATTCAAATCGAGAATCGGTCATCCTGTGTCGGTTCTTTTGTAAAGCTGGGAATTGCCCCGGTTCTAGAAAAGATTCGACGATTCTACACAGTAAACTTTTCTAGATATCTGTGCCAAATTTAATGGTGATCCTTTGGGATCCTAAAACATGGGTGTGGGAGGGTACTCGTAATCAATGTTTTAAAAATTGTCGAGTCGGCATGGAATCGGATGATTCGAATCGGAATCGATCATCCCGTGTTGGTTCTTTTGTAAAGAAGGGAATTGTCGGTGTTTTTTTGTAAAGCCGAGAATATCCTGGTTCTAGAAAGGATTCGAATCGGAATCGATCATCCTGTGTCGGTTCTTTTGTAAAGAAGGGAATCGTCGGTGTTTTTTTGTAAAGCCTGGAATCGCCTGGTTCTAGAAAGGATCTGGCGATTCTGCACAGTAAATTGTCCGGTTCGCACAATAACTCGCCCGGTTCTTCGAGTCATGACGTTGAGAAGTCAAGGGCATTTTCATAAAATTTAGGGAATTTCGAGGCAAAAGGATCCCCCACAAGCTTCGCACGGCCCTAAGTTCTTCACGCACGTGTGCTCACAATCTACCCGCTTCGTGTGATTTCATTGCTTCAAACGCGCTATGAAGAATGAATACAAATAACTATTTATGCATATAAATTTGCTTCTTTGTCTTCGATGTGGGACTATGTGAATAGGTAATACGTTAAAATGTTCATATATTATATATTTTGTTAACTGTTTTATAAACACTAAGTTGAAAGTGCCGTTATTGTGCGTCTTGAGCTGGTTTTCTTTTTCTCTTTTTTTTTGTCAAATTATTTGTTTATCCAAAAAATAAAAGGTTTTTATCAATTTCGCTTTTTGTCAAATTTTTTTCTTATCAATAAAATAAAAAGTTTCGTATAAAAAAAATGAAAATTTTAGTCAAATTTTTTTCTTATAAAAAAATTAAATTCTTTTTCTAAAAAAATAAAAATAAAAGGTTTTTATCAATTTAGCTTTTTGTCAATTTTTTTTCTTATCTAAAAAATAAAAATTTTCGTATAAAAAATATGAAAGGTTCTTATCAATTCTTTTTCTTGTCAAAAAAAATAAAAATGTTTTTGTCAAAAAAATAAAAAATAAAAAGTTATTGTCAAAAAAATAAAAAGTTCTTATAAAAAAAAATACAAGAAATATTTTTGTCAAAAAAACTCATTTCTTAATTTTTTGCAAAAATACAATAAGTATTTTTGTTAAAATAAGTTCATACAGAGAAAACAAAAACTAAAGATTCACATATTGATGAAAAAAATAAAAATTAATAATGTAGTATCTTGATTTCTTATTAGATTATTAAAAAACAACATTTATAATGAATTTTAATAATTTTTTTAGATTTTTTTAAAGCATAATCCGACCGATTAGGTTGATTTCCGATCTGGATCACCAATTCACCGATCCGGATGGATTTTTGGGGTACCGGATCTGGGTCACCGGTCCATTTTTTAAACCACTGCTCGTAATAATTATATTAAGAAAATATTTGAACCGTTAGCTACAATTATTTTTAGATGGACCACCTATTTGCATCCATCTTTAAGATGGATGCTTTATACCTTTGGACCACACATGGTACAAATGCGGTCCAGCCCGCATGAAACAATTGTTCTTTATTAATATCTTCTCTTTCAATTTCAATTTACATGACGCCTCTCCAATACGCTGATTTAAGAGGGTACTTCAGCCCCTTACATTCTTTTGATAATTCACCCACCAATCTGAAATACGCATTGCTGCCAACATTTTGGGTGGCGCAATAAAAAACAGTTCATAGCTGTGAGCTTTGCAGCCGGTCCCAAGTAAAAGACTACGAATTCTCTAAAATAAGAAAACGAAAAAGTTTGTATAAGGTTGCAACCTTATAATGTAGAAAAAAGAAAAAAAGTTCGTGTGAGGTTGCAACTTTAAAATGTAGAATTAAAGATGCAGCTAAAAAATCAATCGGAAAAGGTTGTTTTAATATTGAAAAACCCTCTAATTGATCATCTCGACGTCTAGATGTATGAATATGGAAAAAAAAGAAGATTTTGAGTTCTAAAAATAGTACATCTTGCAACACATTATTTAGATCGTCCATTTTCAAGATTTTCATATGTTTATAGATCTACTTGATTTTAACCATTTTTGAAGTTTAAAATTTTATAATTAGATATGAAAGTAGATTTTGAGATAATCCTAATAATTTTTTACACCAAAATTACATGTCATGATAGAATTTGGAGGTGCCCCGGAATTGGATTGTTTAAGGTTGCAACCTTATAGAAACCACCCATAAGAAAAATATAGTTCATAAAAATTAAATTCAGAAACATAAGAAAAGTCCATCGCAAGTCCGCTTTTTCTTTCGACAAAAATACGTCTTGAGAACGTTTATAGCTGTGGACTTTGTAGCCCGAATGTTCAAGGTTCAATGCGAACCTACCCAAGTGAAGACTACTAGTTATTAAAATAAGAAAAATACAAATTCATAAAGTAAAGGAAAAAGTTTATACAAAGTGCCAATTTTATATTGTAGAATTGAGTTGCACCTCAAGGATTCATCGGAAATGGTTGTTTTAATGTTGGTAAACCCTCTTAACTGATAGATATGACAAAAGAAAGATTTATGGGTTAAAAAGATGTGGAAGCAACTTTATCTCTATAAGAACAATGCGTTTCTAGGTATGAAGTGGGAAAAACAGAATGTCATAATTGTAGTTTTGAATAAGGCAACATTTTTACTGAATAAAAGGTGTTAATCTTTTTATATTCCTGACGTCAAGCTATTTTTCCGTAAGACCTCCCCTACAGTATCGTCATCATTGTAGAGTTTAGCCACCAAGTTCGGGATGGATTGGTGTGATTCCCCTACGCCTAGGGCACCGAAATATTGAACCACGAACAAAAAAAAACATAAGAGAAAAACATATTGACTAGTAATTATTGATTGTCAGGCCCCAATTCTAGATTGGAAGGGAGTCTCAAGAATAATACATTTTTAAGATTTTCATGTTTATAGATCGATTTTATTTGAACTACTTTTGAAATTTAAAATTTTTATCATTAGAGATGAAAATAGATTGTCAAGCTACCCTAAAACAATTTTACACCAAAATTACATCTTATGGTTAAAAGGTGCACCTTGCTTTGATGGTTTACGGTTGCAACCTTATGCAAATCACGCCTTAAATTAAATTACTAAATATAGAGAAAGTCTATTGTATGTTTAGTTTTTCTTTTTCTGACAATATATCAAAAATTTGCCAATGAAGAAAAAACAAATAGATCCCTATAAATAACATCAAGAAAATGATTGATAAAGGAGATACATCATGGTCTTGGATTCCAAATTTCAACCCTTCAACAAAATTTCAGCCTCACTTCTTAATCCAAAAAGAAATATCAAAAATAGGTAAATACCATGAGGAAACACATGCATTTACTCCATGAGCCCACAGCAAAGGAAAATGAGAAGGAAGGAGTTAAAGCATACGATAGCATGTCTTACACCAACCCAATCAAGCAAACTGCGTAGCCCCCTCAAAACCAATATAAACCATATTTAATAGTACAATCAAGCCGAATAATCTACAAAGCTCTAAATTACAGCTTCGTTCTATACAGCCTGAGGCTACAGCCATTTTATTACTCTTCCAACTCCAAAAAATATATATATATATTGAAAAGGGTGTAAGATAGCCCATGTGATCCACATGTGGGCAAAATAAGAAAATTGAAATATGAAAGCACCAACTTCTGTATGAAAACTTTTACGGCCGTAAAGTCCATCCACGCTCTGCAAGTGCCTGACGAACCCGGCTGGCAGCTTCGGCAGTGTCATTGAGGGGAGGATAGCTCCAGCTCTCAGATATCTGCGAATAAAAAAGTTCATGAAATCACAAAGTTATCAGCACTTGGTCTTGAAAAACCTCTCTCTCTCTCTCTCTCTCTCACACACACACACAAATATACCCCAACCAGACTCCTTGCCCACTCAGAGTACCACGTTCAGACTCACTCCAATTTAGACTCTTCATCTCCTCTCTCTGCCTCAGTCAGACTATCCCTCAATCTTTACCAATGTCCTTTTTTTTTCTTTTTTCTTTTTTTGGATATGCCAACGGCAATAGTGCACAGGAATGGAAAGCATGATATCACATTGTGGCTCCGCTACACTCACCACCCAGCCATCAGGTCCATTCCTCCCTCTTTACCGTGATCCCTCCCTCTCACCATCCAAAGTAGACTCTCTCGTCCTCTCTCTCTCTCTATCCCAATCAGACTCTATTTCCCTCACCCTCTCCACCCCAACCAGGCTCTCTCTCTCCAACTTTGCCAAGATGTGAGGGATATGCTAATTACTCACATCTTCATTGCCAGTGAATGGACGAACAACACCTCTCTCCTGCAATGTCTTATGGAAGGCTGAGAACTTCCATGTGCATCGCTCAGCTCCAGTTACATATACAGGCTTCCTGGCAAATTCAACAATTCACCAAGAGAGATATTATTAATATCTATACTACCAAGGAAGAAAAAACAGGAACAGGAATGTGAAATTTACCATTTACAGCATGACACCTTTTTCTTTCCATATTTCCTAAAATCTCTTCCCATTAAAAGAGCAAGTAATTTTAGAATTCCTAAATCATCCTATCATCACATCCTATTTTCAATATCTATCTCTAAGCACATTCAAATAATATATGTCTAACTCCAAGTCCTAGATTCTCTCAAAATGTACAGAAGGTGGAATCCCATCTCATGTCCTTCCTAAAGTGTCAATCTCTTATTATAAATTTCTATTAATTATTCCTAAGACAAAGAACATTCATAATTTAAATCTTAAAAAACATTTGTTGAAAAAAAAAAGAAAAGAAAAAGCGGACAGCTTCTTTGTGTTTTTAGGACAAGCTCTAAGAGTTTGAAACCTTGAGCTCCCTCACCCAATCTGTTATGTCTACACCAAGCCAAAACCCAAGAGATCTTTTTGAGAGAAAAATTGACAATGTCACGAATAGGAACTTTTTTAGTTGAAAAATCCAGTTGTTTAAGCATGGTATAAATCCTTTTAAAATAAATGATAAATGATAAATATATGAAAAAAAAAATTATAAAATAAGATACGATGGGCCTCCTTTACTAAAATTCCAAATATCTTATTTTAAATTGCCATTAATTATTTTATAATAAAGAATACAATTTAAATTACTTAAAGCACTCTATACATTAGATGCTATAAATAGGACATTTTTAAGAATAATTAAAAACAACTTTTTATTATGGCACACATTAAGTAAAAATTAAGTGAAATTTTGTGATAAAAAATTGGAATATTTGATAGATTTGGGGATTCATGCAATACAAGTGCCATTAGCTAGTTGTTCCAAACTAAATATCATACCCAGTGCTACAAGCCTCACTAAGCATACTAATTGAATCTGCAGTTATGACAAAAGCATCAGCCCAAGCTAGGTGACCCATGTGGGGATTTGGACCTGAAATTATAGAGAGAGAAAATGTCATGACAAGACCTGGACTCAAATCTCACTTCTTGTTTGCTTCATTAGAGCCCACATCAATTGAGATTACCTTCACCATCCCATATGTATACCTTGGGATGACTATTAAATTCTTTGCGAATTATGTTGGAAACCTGCGATGTGACATATATAAGGACCCTGGCCCAGAATTGAAATGAGCAAGAAAGAAGATCGACATGAACAAATGAGACAAAAAAGAAGGGGAAAGTGAAATTTCTGTGATTCAATGTCACCTTAAGAGGAGTCCTCCTTGAGAAAGATATTCTCAAGCATCCACAGGTTGCAAGGACCTTGTGTAGTGAACCTGCCAACTGTTTGGCCAAGTCAGCACCATATCGACAGTGACCTGTGAAAAAAAGAAATTCGTTTTTTATCAAAATGGCATTGCATTAAATTTCTATAAAACAATAATTGCATTATCAATGTTGGCCCACACGAGTTCTGAGAATGTATAGGCGGCTAGGGTTTTAGGAGTTAGATTCGATGGGCGAGGTCGCTTGATAAGTCAATAGTTGGTGGGGAATGAATTCAAAGTGTTAAGGATGATGTCTTGAATGCAGATTTGGGTTTAAACTGGAGGGAATTTAGCAGGTCACCAAAGCAATTGATAAAGAAAGATATTGCACGCTAAGGATGTACAAAAGGTCAGGGATTGGGTTTGGGTGATTCAAGTAGGGAATAGGGGTGAGTTTTGAAAAAATAGATCTGGTAGGAAATAAGCAGGGTGGCAAGATTTATGTGATGAAATGTTGATAGAAGAAACCCTAAGGTTGGGTTGTCGAGGTTGAGAGGCCTAAGTTGATGGTGGAATTGAGTGGAGATGAGATGGGATCAGCTACAGTTTGGAAGTGATGGCTGTGACTTCAGATGGGTGATGAGAAAATCGTGAGGGTGAGAGGGAGCTGGGACAAGAGAAAATGGGTGGATGAAGAAAGAGAAGAAAGGAAAGTGTCCCTTGAAGAAGGAGATGGAGAGCGTCAATGAAGATGGCGGAGATGGAGAGCCCTATTTTGTGGAAGGTATCACACCAAACCAAACTTTGGAGATGGGCATCATGCAACAGAGGGGCTTACAGGAATCAAACATCTAGAGAAGATGGAAACGCTTCTACAAAGATAGCCTAACACAATTCCAACGTATGTTATTTGTCAAGCTTAATTGCCTGGCCTATGGCACCTCTACTTATGATAGTCAGCCACTAATATTGCTTCACTTGGAGTCTAAACAAGCTCTAAACTTTCTTGCAGTATTAACTCTTCCAAACTTGAGAAATAAGAAATTGGACACTTCAAAATTAGAAAACTAGTACCTTTTACACAACATAGAAAGTATTACTTAATTGAAGGAATGATACTTCCCTCTGCAGCACAAGCAGATGAAGTTTGGAAAGTCGCTCTTCTATAAACAAGGCAAAAAGACTGCAGACGAATATTCCAAGGAGTTTTATGACCTCACCAACCACTATTGCCTAGCCAAGACCAACACACAGCAAGTCTCAAGATATAAGTCAGACTCGTGCTAGAGATTTATTCAGATGGTGACTGTAACTGGTTTTGATCATTTACGAGGCTTATCAGATGGCCTTAAGGATTGATGAGCATCTCGCTACTCAATGATCCATATCCCAGTCCAATCACTTAATAAAGAATAGAGACCTTTGCAAATTCAGCCCTGTCAATACTTAAAGACATGACACTAAGGGCAAAGGCCTTCCAGGTGATCCCTCAAGGGGTCACGCCCCACATAATGAACTTAAGGGTCAAGTGTGGGACCCACCTTTGATTCGAGTTTTGGTGTGCCACCTCATCATGGTGGCTTGTGGTCTGTCCTAGTCATTTCTCTCCACCTTAAAGGAACTCATCAAATTGTATGAAATAAGCTTTTTGTCCCTGCTTGCTTAAGTCAGCCTTTCACTTCAACAAGGAATTTATGTTGGTTAACTTAAGTATCTTTAGCTTCTGACACTGGTCAGAGCATTGTCGTTGGCTTTTGGGATTGACCAAAGCCTTTATCAGGAAATCATGACACGCATCATGATCTAGCCAGGCTTCATGTCAGTATCTTCGCACTCTTTCATTGTCATTAAAGCGATTAAATTGTGTATTGCTTGAAAATAGCATGTATTGGCTTTGCCATCGTGCTTCACTTTATGATCATACAGCCAAGGTCTCCCTGACAGGATGTGAAGTTGCGAACCATGGCTATACACCACACATCACACCATGCTTGACGAGTACAGTTCTCCCCAGAGAAAAAGTGATAGGCAACCAAGATGTCACAGGTATGGTCCCCTTACAAGCAACCTTCATGGTTGTGGTGACTCTCAATCTTCAAATTTAATTTGTGAACCAGCTCTGTGAGACAATGTATATGAAGCTTCCCCCATCAAAGATGAGATTACATACTAACACATCTATCTTTGATGCTCATGTTTGGAAAACAATGCTTCACCAATCCTCTGGCTACCTTTCTGAATGAAAAGGTTAAAGTACAAGGACTTCACTTTCCATTGGTACAACGATTGCTTTTTCTAGGGGTTATTAATCTTTAACATTGTTGTCCTTGACTTTTAAGGTGCCCTTTACCAAGTTTAAGACCTTGGTTGGCCATTGTTAGCCAAAATGGTCACGACCCTCACACCTGAAACACTGATTGGAGGGGTTGCTGCCCTTCCGTTAGGTCACTTTGCCTTCTCTTAGTATCATGGCCCTCATATGAGAATTGTGCTTTAATGTGGGTGGGAATGAAGTTGAATTAAGGAGTCCATCGAAACTTGCTAAGAATCACCTCCGGAAGGCAGTGGCTGAGGATGCTTCGATGCATTCATTAATGGTTCTTGCTTTCATTGTGGAAGAGTAGCCTTTCGAACATCATTTGCTCAAGCAGCAGGTGTAAATATCATTTCTTGAAGTCAATGGCACTTCTTTATAGAGGGACTAGTTTCCTATTATATATTTTTGGAAGACTTAGGACTTTAAGAGGGCGATTGATTTTTGGAAGAGGCGGTTTTGGAAACCGCCGCATCCTAAAACCGTAGCACTTCCCTGTTTGAAAACGGGGAGTGCTACACATTTTTTTAGTGTTGCACATTTTTTAGGAGCTGTGGTAACCAGCGGCACCCAAAAGGATATTGTAAAGCGGAAGACACGGCTTCCGTGAGGGACCATGGAAGCAGCGAGTTCCACTTCCATGGAAATGTGCTTCCACAGATACATCTTCCCAGATTCAGACACACCATAAGAAAGTCTAGAGCTGCGTATACTCCAAGAGATGCAATATTATGAGGTCTCAGCCATTATGAACAAAGGTGCAAGGTCATTTGTCAAGCAATCAAGTTTAAGAGATAATATTTGATTTAAGTTTGGTGTGAAACCGTAGGAGTGGTTCCTTTCTCTAGAGGTGTGATTCCCCTTGGCAATTTTTGTGAAGTGACGCAACAAAACCTAGATTTTGCTTTGGGTAATGTCATCCAAATCTCAGTTCTCCATCTCCTTCATCTTACATCCATGCCCCATCTACTCTTCTTCCAACAAGTTAAGCCTTTTCTCTCATCTGTTTCTTATGTAAAATCCACACCTCACACATATTTTGAACCTTGAACCCCGCACCGACCTCTTGACCCCAACATAAGCTCATACCATATTTAATTAAATCATCATCTACCCACCATCATCCCTTAACCTAGTCAACCCCAGTCAACCCCAACCAATATACCCAAGTTCGAGCCTAGCACCCATCTCCATCTCAAACTCTAGGGCTGCTAATATCTAAGACAACCCCATAACCTAGCATACCTGCTAATTTCCAGCAAGATTTAATTCCTATTTTTTTGTTACCCAAGTTCGAGCCTAGCACCTATCTCCATCCCAAATCTAGGACTGCTAATATCTATGACAACCCCATAACCTAGCATACCTGCTAATTTCCAGCAAAATTTAATTCCTTTTTTTTTGTTAATTGTAAAGCAAGATTTACTTCCATTAAGCCCACCGAATAAAACCTAATTTTCACCCTAAACCGAACTTCAATTATTAATTCATCCTCAACCTCAACCTCAACCTCAAACAAATTTCCAAAAACCTTTTTGTCCAACTATTATCTGCTACTCTGCTAAATTCTAACCATTGTTTCAAAAAACTGCTCGCCCAGTGCCTAGGCAGCCGCCTAGGAGCCCAAGATGCCATTAGCCCACCTCGCCTAGGCCTGGGCTGGCCTTCCTAAGCAGGTGCCTAGGAACTTCTATAAAAATGGCGGAAATAAGTTTTTATTCATTTATTTATTTTGGGTCATTTTGAGTCATTAAAAGGGGTATTCTAACCCCCCAAAGCAAAAAAAAAAAAACTCTTCCTATGCCCTAGAAACACCCAAAGTTGATGGATTTTGCAACTTTTTTTAAAGAAAGAATTTTGAGAAATTCATAGAATCATCCAGAACCTTACCGTATCTTATTGCAATCAATTTTAGGGTCCAAATGATGTTCTTAAAAGACTTTTGGGGTTGATTTTGAGCTTCTTAGACGACTGAAAATTGAGGATAAAACATCAAAAACATTGAATAATTAAAGGTCTCCACTTTCTTTTCATTTGTACAGCATCTTTTGTAGAAGATCAATTCGTATTGGTCATTTGGTCTCAAGGAAGTAAAATTTTAGTGATTTGAACATATTTCAACATTCACACACATAAATTTGTATAAAAAAATTAGTTACAATACATATAAATATACATACTTAACACATATATAACATATACATGCGTTTGATCAGCACATATAAGCATAATGTGAATATCACACACCTTTGGGTGCTGAAGGTTTTGGGCAACCGCCTAGGCATTGGCACCATAAAGCCCCACGGCACCTAGGGACTGCCAAGTGTTCTTTTAACCTTGATTCCGACAAGAATCCCACACTCCCACCCAAAAGATATTGTGAGAAATACCAACCTTAACATTGTAAACTCTAATCACTACAGCTCAAATGCCATTTACCTCCTACCACAATAAGCAAAGTATCTAGATTGCAAACCTTTTGTATCTCCGCCTCCCTTCTCTGCCACTCCATCCAACCAGTTCACAATAATAAAAACAAACCATAAAGTTAAGCGTTGACATTCAACATGTAAATATGTGTTGTCGAAGTGAAGACAACGCCATTTAACAGTCCAATGCCAACCCTTGCTTTATATGAATATTCTTTCCTAAACTGGAAAAATCTTCATGCCAACATTCGCTTTGTCGTATTCCACTTATACTTGGACATGTAGCACTACAAAACTTTTATTGAGTAAATGAATCATCATCATCATAGCCTTTTCCCAATTAATTGGGGTCGGCTACATGAGTCTTGGTCCGCCATTCTGCTCTATTAAAAACCATACCCTCAGTGAGACCATAAGTCCTCATATCTTCTCAGACTACTTCGAACCATGTCTTTTTGACCTACCCCCTGTCCTTTTCAATCCTTCCACTTGAACTAACTCGTACCTCCTAACAGGTGTTGTACTTGGTCAGCACCACACATAGCCAGCCCACCTAAGTCTATTATCTCTCATCTTATCGCCTATTGGTGCCACACCTAAATTCTCCTGAATGGATTCATTTCGAATCCTATCCCTTCTTGTCATGCCACTCATCCATTTCAACATAACTCATTCTATGAGTATATTATTTTTCGTCCGTCCAACATTCCGCCTCATAGAGCAAAGTTGGTCTCACAACTGTCTTATAGAACTTGCCCTTCAGTTTCATTGGTATGCGGCGATCACATAAAATTCCAGTTGCACACCTCCACTTTGCTCACCCAGCTCTAATTTTATATGCGGCATCTTCCTCAATTTTGTATTCATTTATTGAGTAAATGAATGTCAAGCTAAAATATCAGGCAGATCTGAAGCCCAACTTAGGTTTAGTGAGAATATGGGACCAACAATGTATAACATTGAATCTCCTAATGCATAGTTAGATTCCAAGTGAACTCATTTTCTTTTTTATTGACAAATACAAATGAGCTCAATTCAATCAACAAATGACTAGAATACTTTTGAGACCAAATTAATACATTAGCTTCAATGACATAAATGATAAAAGACATCAATGAGCAGAAACTACTCAATAATTTGACATCCTATTTATTAAAGAGCAAAAGCAGAATAAGAACTGTGGGCAAACCTTCTTTGAATAAAGGCTTCTATAACTAACTAAAATATCACGTACATGACTGGAAACATAGATGTGTACATCAAAGTTTTCATTTTCTTTGGACATTATCAAAGGTTTCGATATTAAGTTAATCCTTATTCAGGTGAATACTTGATGCCGGTCATGTAAGACATGTTAGACAAATCACGATGTCATATACATGAGCCTAATATTACAACAATATCTTACTTGTGGGTCCTCCAATATTCACCACGAGTAAGGGCTTCGGGAGGGGAGCTAACTCATCATGCCATTCACTAGCAGCGATACGTAGCATACTCGAATCTGCCTTGTGTAGAGCACCCACTGTAAGGACCTACCATACCAAATTTGTGATCCGAAAAGCATATGGGCCTTAATAAATAAAATAAATCATGACTAAATGTTAATAGCAGAGAACATATAAGATGCATATCCTCTTTGCAAAACATACCACATGCCCATCAGGAGGTTCACGTGGAGTAATCCAACGTCGCAGAAAGCGAGGGATTTCTTGCTGTCCTGATGGAGTTAGAGCATAATAATCATGACGAGGGGTGACCACCAGGTCAAATCTATTTAGCTTAGTCCTTGGATGCTGAATCTGAAAACACACCACAAAAGGCAGTTTAAACAACAAAAATGCAGATGCTGAGATAAATGACAACAAAAAATAATACAAAAATATCCTATAGTATATAAATTCATATTGAGGCATCTATATCTGAATGCAACAAAACCATTAATGCCCATTTACACTATATCTCACAAATATTCCACTAGTCAAACATCCAGAAAGAGTCGAATAAATCTGATTGCTCTCCAAGAACTAGGGTGCGGCTTCAGTTATCAACAGAACACAAGGTTTTTCAATGCAAGATTTTCACATATTTGTCATTTTAATCCAAAAAAAGTGAAAGTTAGGTTCATCTCCATGTTAGGGGCTCTAGCACCATGGATGGCTAAACTACTATGATAAAACTGAGGAACATATTAAATTTCAAGAAAACAACAACCTAAAAAAACATTGCTAGACACAATAACTCACCAATTTCATGCCGTTGGCATAACACATAACTCATCTCAACCAACATTATTTTCTTTCATAAGCCAGTTTAACACAACAATCGGATAGTAGAAAAATTATATTCAGGACAATACCTGGACTACAAATACATTTTGGGGAGCTAATCTTTTAATTGAACTCGCTAAAGAAATGGTATCCCGACCAGAAGCAACCACTAACAAGGGGCCTTCTCTGCTAACCAAAAAAATAAAATAGTTTAGTACAAGCCACTTCAAGCTACATGTCAGGTAAAAATCATCAGTTATTGGTTCAAGTATCAATAATATTAAGGAAAATGCATTTTTGAATCACCAAAACATCAAAAGATAATCTTACTTTTCAAAAGTATCGCATGCCATCATTGCAATCTGTTTTGCATCTGCTTCTAAAACAGATGGCAAACCTGCAACCCCACCATTTTCAGCAGGTAGAGGAAACAACTTCTTCCCTGAATATGAAGAAAGAAATGCTGAATTGCCACATATCTGCCTCAGGATTAAGTATAGTTTTTTGTGCATGGAAACAGGAAGCCAACTCAGCCACTCATTGAGGCCTCCTCTTGGTCTAGTAACACGCTGCATAGCCCATGAAGAATGAAAAAATTATTTTAAATTTTTAGAACATAATTAAATGCATACAAGAAATAGTATTTCTATGCATTCGATTTCTTTTATTTACAACATACATTCTGTAGCACAGAGTCAACTTCAATTTTATTAGTTATAGCATGGACAACTAGTCATGAGGTCATATGTTTCTGTGCCAACAAGGTTGGTGAATGCAAGGCACAACCAGTGACAGCAACCTTTACATTAGAACAATGAATAAAATGGTTACTAGAAAGGAATGTTGACATTCACAAACTCAAGCCAAACAAGAAAAAACAAAGAATCAGACTCTATAAAAATTCAAGCAGAACTACCTGAACAAGGAAAAAAAGAAAAATTACTGGAAGAAACAGACTCCATAAAAATCCAAGTAAAACTAACAAAAAATACATGAACCCAAACACAACCCAGTTTATAATTAACCGGAATATAATATATGTATGTTCCACAAATTAATCAAACTTGACAAAAACGAACCACTTAAGAGTCACTTGCGGTACATATGGTGAAAAGTTCATCCAGGCCAAATCCAGTTGATGGCATGACTCATTTACTAAAACACACAAAAGTACTGTTCTTATTTTTGCTTTGAAAGGAGCGGGTGGTATGGTGTTCACGTTTACTGAAGGGATTCGAGAGAACCAGATATAGAGTGGAATGCTTCCATGCGTAGGTGTTCATAAGCGATTGTATAAGTGGGATAGCATGGGGCAGTTGTCTATCAGGTCCTTCTAGAGCACTAAATAAGAGGGTATACCAACATTATTCATACTTCAGTTTCTATGGAAAGCGACAATAGAAAAGGTCCTCCTGGGAGATTGGGAAAACACAGAGAAATCAAGGCCTCAAATTCCAAAAACTTTGTTTCATGTGGAGGGAGGTAGGAAAAAGAATAAACCACATTTTGTAGCATTTCTCGCAACAATAATTTCTAGACCTCTTTGAGACATGTGATGGCTAATCATTAGTTGGCAGCAATTATTATGAGTTGCTAGCCATCCTCATGATTCCCCCAAAGGAATTGATAACTTTGGAAGATTTATCTTTGAATGTGCAAGGGTATTTTGAATGAGAGAAACAAAAGAATTTCAATGGCAGATAAATGAGCAGCACAAGTTAGACAAGTGAGATAGGGGCTCTGTGATCTTCCTTAAGGAGTTTCATGGGATTAAAAATCATGAACTAGTTCATGAATGCAATAGGATAACACTTGGTGAGAATCCAAGTCCCAAACCCAAAGTTCAATAAGGCAAGAAGTCGTAGAGCAGCTTGAAGCTTAACTCTGACGCCAAGTACATGGAAAAACTTTGCTGTTTGAATCAATATTTCAATGCCCATCAAAGATTTCCATCATAAATTAACAGTGGCAATTTATTTTCAGGAGGCAACCAGGATGATGATATAGGCAAATGTTAGATGATTCACTTACTTTCACGAACTAAATAGACAATGGCAATTCAAGGTTTAGAAGGGCCAGTTATTTGCTCAAACTAAATTGTTATTGGCAATTCACGAAGTGTAGATGGTCGAGAAGCGTTTTAGAGACTAGCGAAACCACCCACACAGAATTTCCATAATTCATTTATCGTTTTGTCCCATACACAGAAAGCATATAGTTCGTTGCCAAGTAACAAGAAGCAGGTCCAACCAACAACCATATAAACCACATAATGTAATAATTCTTTCAGTTCATGCAGCAAACAAACCAAATATCACAGGGCTTCTAAAAGCCTCACAACAAAATACCCATAGAGAGAGAGAGAATTCAGACAAAGAGGGAGGGAGAGAGAAGGAGGGAGGGAGGTGCAGTCATGCCAATAAAATGAACTCCATGATTTGCCTACTCTCAAGTTGCAAATTTGATGCACTCAACACATGAATAGGAAACAAAGATCCCCCAAAATTTTAAGAGCAAACCATCAAAAACTCAGTAAGAAGAACTGAGGTAAAAAACAAACAGAACAACGAAATTGAATAAGATCTTACATATAAAGATTGTTTATCAGAGAGCCCTAGCGCTCTAACCAACCCAATGCTCTGATTCTCAGCACCAGAAAATCCATTACCAATAATTACAGCTCTCTTCACCACATTGAAAACTCCTGCTTCAAAAATCTCAGGCATTCCTATCGTTCCACTAGGAGGCTCTGGGAGCTTAATCGCCCTCATAATTTCACGAACCCTAATCCAACTTGATTCAGAAAAAACCCTAATTTTCAACCAGATCAATACGCCTCTAAACAACCCGACCAAATCTAAAAAGCTTTGGTTTTTCCATTTATTTCTGATAAATTAGGAAGAACTGGCTGAAAAATATGGTGGGAAATATAAAGGGTTGGTGTTTTAATACGAGTTTACAAGCTAGGGTTTTCTATTTTGCAGAGTTTATCACGAAAGGAGAAGATTTAGAGTTTATCACGAAAGAGATTGCAGAAGACTGGCGTCTTCCAATTGAGAGAGAGAGAGAGAGGAGGGGGGAAGCCTTCGGTTTAGAGAGAGAGGACGTCCTTTTAGAGAGAGAGAGAGAGAGAGAGAGTC